TTCGGGGATGGGTCCTCCGAGCCCCTCACTGAAGGACCACATCTCCCTGGCTACCTGTCCCTCTTTTATTGTCAGTTTGAAATCGCGCTCATTTTACCCTGAAAGACCGTAGTTAATCAGAAGGGCTGTACAAACCCCCCGGGGCCCTGGTCAGCAGGGTCCCCCCCGTAGCCCGGGGACCCGTGCGGTGGCTTTCCCTGCAGGGCAGCAGAGCTGGGGGCTTCGGAGGTCTTGCCTTTATTTGCCCCCCACCTTGGGGAAAAGTCTGAGATGTTCAGGTGTGAGTATTTAGGGCAAAATAACATCCTAAATAAAGCGTGCCAGTAAAGTCAGGAGCTGGAGAGCTTTTGGGTGCTGAGTTGGGGCAGGGTAAGGGGCAGCCGTAGGGATGCCTAGGGCAGACCCAGGGGCTTTTTATTACCCCGATCCTCCTTTCCACCACAATTTTTTAATCTGCTTTTGCACAGGGTAGATGTGAAGCGTGGGATCCTGATGTTCCGTTTTTATTTTCCTCACTTTGGAAACTACTCCCAGTACTAAGCCCTGCCTGCCATCTATGTTGTTGCCCCGCTCCCCCTTTGCTGCTCCACTCGCCAACATTCAGAGCTGACGTGGCGGTGCCCAGTAGCCAATTTCAAGTAAAAGAAAGCTTTTCTTTTGCTCTTTCTGAGCACCTACGGGACCTTTGGATCCCTGTAATGGGTCTTTTAGGATTTCCTCTTGGTGAGCAAGCTGCTTGCACGCAGGAGTAATCATCTATCTAGTGCTGAATAGGGTTTTGGTTTGTATTTCGGCCAAAAGGAGGCAAAAGAGTCACGTTTGGGGTTTACCTGGACCACCGCTTAAAGACCAAATTCTTTAGCATCCTTGTGGGCATGGGAGTTTGCAGCGCAATAAATCGCATCCTGTCTAGGCTCAAACCAAACAGGTCCAAGGCTTGGTCTTGAGCTTAAAAATAAAGCACTGTCCGGCTGAAGGGTCCAAACTCTTCCATCTTCTTAACTGTAATTTTTAATCCTTGCTATAGTCTAAGTCATCTAACGGTGATGCCGGTTTAGGTACCGCGGAGATTTGGAATTCTGGCAAGAGTGAGCAGGGCTTGGGGCTTCACGGGAGGTTGGTCGGGCTTAACGCCACTGAAACGGCAAATGTAAAAACTCTTTTATTAGACAGAAAAGAGCTGGTGTAAATACAAGGTATAAACAGGTGTTGACTTTCGACGGGGAGAGGAAATCCCCGGCCCCAACCGGTGCATCGGCTTTATCAGAAAATATTTGTTGGATGGTAGCGATACCATTAGTGGGAGCGGGGGAGGAGAAAAGGTGAACTGAAATTGTGGGGTTTGGGCCAGATTTGGTGGAGAAAGGGAACAAAGGGGCCCACAGGCTGGGGAGGCCGGGACAGAGAGGGCAAAAAATGCCGCTTCTGTCCTCAGCGCTGCGGGGATGGGCGAGAGCTGTTTGCACGAAGGAGGCTGACGTGTGTCTTGGCTTTAACCGTTTTAATTTGTAACAGACGTTGAACACTTAGAAAAGTATCAGAACGGCAAATTTTGTGCATGCACCGTTACGGATTTACAAAACATTCGCGTATCACAAAGTACGAGTTACCTCAAAGCCCTGCTTTTCCGGTGAATATCCTGAAAGATTTCTTTTCTCTATATTTCTTTTATATATATCTGTATCTATATTTATATCTTCACTTAGCTTACACCGATGCAAAAAATCATTTAGGACGGTGTCATTCAGTGCCTTGCAAAAAAAAAAAAAAAGTACACGAGAGAGTTTAAATACAACTCAGGGCGACCGGTTCACCAAGCGCAACTTTGCAGATGCTACAGGTCATACACAGCCTAGCATCGACCTAAGCACAAGAAGCAAGAATTTTACCCACCGCTTCCACGTGTCAAACAAATTACTTGTGAAATATGGGGTTTTTGAAACATTTCCCATCCTAGGCTTGGTTTTCCCGATGCTGTTTGCTGTAACCGCGTGATTTAGCTGGTTTAAGTCTCTTGCTACATTCTTGACCCCCTCGAGCATCTTTTTCGCTGTATTTTAACATCCTTTAGGTCAAGGTGCTGAGGTGTGAGCGTGACTTGTCAACTATAGCATATCCAAAATAGCGTTTCCTTGAGCTGTAACACACCAAGCGTTACAGCTTTGGGGTTTTTGGGGGGCGTTCAGCAGCACTTTTTGCCTTTAGACAGGCTAAGAAAGACAGCAAGGCTCAGCTGAAAGCAAAGCGGCGTGGGGGTCAACCGAAACCCCGCCGGGGCTTCAGCCTCGCTGCAGGGGGGAAAAAAAAAACAAAAACCACTTAATTTTTGTGTATTGCTGCAGGAGGTATTTGCAGCATGCAATGTGTGGAGCTGGCAGGTCCGTATGTACATGAGTAAGGGTAGGCTTGGGGATTAAAGGGTTAAAATTGCAACCTAGCAGCTCGTTGCTTGACAAACCCATATCTGACCCTCCTAAAAGCCCTGTGCTTTGGGGCAACGCCGCGGCGTGCCCCAGGGAAAGGGTTTCTGGTGGCAGCGGGACTAAGGGGATTAGGTAAAACCCTGCTTGTTAGCAAAGAGGATTTTCGGAAACGCTCTGGCAGGGATGCCAAGGACCGGGTGAGCTCCTCTCTGTCTGATCCCTCTCGAGGTGGCCCCGAGGAGGAGGAGGTGGTGAAGGCCATTTATTTGGGCATCCAGCTCCATCACTGTCCTGCCATACTGGGGACGCGTTTGGGGTGGAGAAGGAAATTTTCATCCTGTTGCCTAAACCGGAGTCTCCAGGGAGGTGATGGCGAGCGTCGGTGCCCGGGTGCTCCAAGGGCTCTTCACCAAAGACGACCGCAAGCAAGAACGGGAGGGTTCGGGGGGTCCCACAGGGACACAGGTGACGTCTCGGGGCGCATCAGTGCATGGCGTAGAGGGTGAGGAGGAGGAGGGCGGCGAGGGAGGCGTCGGCGAGATGCAGCTGGATGCCGGAGGCCAGGCGGTACTCGCGGTACTGCTGGATGCACATCTCCCGGATCACCTTCGTCACCACCTTGGTCTCCAGCTCCGTCTCCGTTTGGTTCACCGCCGAACTGGCCTCCGAGGTGTTCTTCTTGGCGGCCGGTCCGATGTTGTATTCGGTCACCGTGATGTTAAAGCAGTCGGCAACAAAGACGTCCTGCGAGACGGGGCTGCTGTAATGCTGGTAGTAAACCTGGTTGGGGTAACGTGCCGAATTTTCGTTCCACCATCGGTACTCGTC